GCTCCTTCCTTTGCCTCTGAGCCTTGCATTATCCCAGAGCAATCCACTCCCAAGGCCTCAGCAGCGCCTGTACCCCAAACCCAAATTCCCGACGAGCTCCTCTCTCAGCCAGGCACCAGAGGAAGCACCGAGTAAGAGTTTCAGAAGTGCTCCACATCCTCCTGCGTTTCCTTTCCAAATCTGCAGCCCTCAATTGCTGCAGGAGGCACAGCTGGCTCAGCTCCGCCGGAAGCACGGCCAGTCAATTTTGGGAACATCTTTGGGAACTCTCACACTTCACAAGTGCTGAGCACAGGGAAATTTTGCCCCTGTGCATTTCCTTCTGCTTCACTGGTGCCTCTCCAGCACGCTTCCCCTTAGGCTGGGGTTGTGTTTGCAATGCCAAGGGCAAACAAAGGCTCAGAGGGGTAAAAACTGCCCCGTCTCTGGAATGTCCAAGCTTGGACGGGGCTTGGAGCAGCCGTGGGAGTTGTCCCTGCCAATGGCAGGGGGTGGCACGGGGTGACCTTAAAGGCTCCTTCCATCCAAACCTTTTTATATTCAGTGATTTCTAAAATGTGCCTCCGCCGAGCCCCCTCCGAGCTGTTCCTGCCATGGCAGAGCTCTGAGGAGCAGCACTGTCCCCTTCCCCTTTCCCGACCCTCCCCATGCAAACCAGGGCTCAGGACACCTCCCCGGGGCTGATTCACCCTCACCCAACACAAACTCAGGTTCCAGAGTCACCGAGGGGACAGAACAGTTTGGGGAGCAGCGCTCATCCTCCCGTGTGCCACGGGAAAGGAACCCCGGTGCTTTGGCCCGGCAGGGAGCACAAAGGGTTAATGAGGAGTTCCTGCTCCCACTCTCCTCGCTCCTCACCTCCCAGGTGACCTCTTTGCCGTGTCCCACCTGTGGGATCACAGCCTTTGCATTCCTCTGGTGGGCTCCCACCTCAGCATCCCTCCCAAACCCCTCCGGCTGATGAACAAAGGAAACACAACCACTGCTCTTAAAAGAATTTTAAAAAATGTAGAATTCAGGCAGTCCTGGAGTGATTTCTCCCATGAGGTCCCAAAACCCCCTGAGCTCATGCTGAGCCCCCAGGGCACCCCTTTTAATGCTGAGCTAGAGAGCTGGAACCTCACCCTCAACCCTCTCTGGAGATGGAAACGATTCTGGCCTATCCTCTTCTTCCAAGCAGCACCATGATGTTCAATAAATAAATAATAAAAGCAGCACGCCAACATTTCCCTTTAAATCAGGCTCAGAAGAAGGTCTGCAGCAGCCCCCCAAGCCTGCAAATGTTAAATTCCTTTATCAATGCCCTTCCTCCCAACGGAGAGAGGGGAGGAGCGGAATGCGGAATTCCAGCTGATGTGTGTGCCTGATTTAAAAGGTGTGAACACGAGCAGCACCCAGCCCTGTGGAAAACACAGCAGAGCTGTCCCTGTGCCTGAGCAGGTACAGGGAAAACACAGCAGAGCTGTCCCTGTGCCTGAGCAGGTGGCTGTTTATCCACAGGGTACAGCCAGACGTGGGGAGGGAGAGCTGTAACGAGCGGCCTGGCAGCGCTCAGTTCACACTGAAAAGCTGCTCACCTGTCTGCCCAGTGTTTGTTCTGTCCCTGCCAGCCGGGGAGAGGGGACAGCAGTGACCTTCCAGGAGACAGAAACATTTTCCTTCTCCCCACAACACCTTCCCGGCGAGCCGTTCCCAGCTGTTGTGCGAGTGAGACAGGCGTGAAGTACAGAACGCCGCAGCTGGCTTTACGAAATCCCTTTTTACAGCCTCCAGATCTCCAGCAAATGCACAAATAAATGGGAAAGTGAGAGGGAGGGAGATGCACAAAGCAAATCCCAGGCTGAGGGAGCAGCACTCTGCTAACTGCGTGGCCAGAGCCCAAATCAGGAGCATCCAGTTATTTTAGCAAGCCCTGCCAAGAGACTGAAGAGAGGAGCCCAGGCCAGGTGTCGGTGATTATAATCCCACTGCTGCCAAAGTCACTCCTGTCTGCAGCCAGCCTGCCTTTGGCTCTCTCCCCCAGCACAAGGAATCATTCCTGAGGCAGGGATTGGGAAAAGCAGCCCCACCAAGCACAGCTGCACCTGCCCCAGGGCAGCTGTGGGCCTCTGCTGGGTGCTCCAAACCTCACAGGATTTTAAAACAGCACCATCCCCGGGGCTGCTGGGGAGAAAAGGAGCTCTGGAAATGCCTCAGCACGTTATTCCCAGTTCTGCCATGGAAAATCAGTGGTTTATGGATGAGATGGGCTGGATGCTGCCACACCCCAAATGATCCCTGCGGAGGTGCCAGCCCTGCTCCCCTGACCCAAACCCCAGCCCAGCACCCACAGCAGTGTCTGGGCACACATCCCTTTCCCTTCCCAGTTCAAATGGAACTGATCCATCACCCTTTCCCATTTCTGGACCCTCAGCTGCCCCGAGGCACGGGGGGTGAACACCTGAAAGCAGACAATGCTTTGGAAAATATGGCTAAAAGAGGTAAAAATCAACCAGCTGCTAAAAGAAGTGAAATCAATCAATGAGTCCTGGAGCCTGCCTGCCCTCACACAGGTATCCAGGCACTTCTCTCCCCTCTGAGGCCTTCTATTTTTGGGAGAAACCTAAAGCTGAGCACAAGGAATGAGGCAGGCAGCCCCAAGGGAGGATGGGCCTGAGCTGCATCACACCTGCACAAAATAATAGTTTTCCACAAGTATGGGTAAATTAGGAAATAAAGAGAGGTTCCATTTCCTGTTTTTTTTTCACCAAACACAAACCCTTTCCACTGCTGAAGACTCTACAAGGGATTTTTTTACCATTTTTAAGTGCTGTACATTGAATATCTCTCCTTTTACAAGTGGAACCTTGTAGCTATGGAGACGCAGAATGTCAAATCCAAGCTGAAGACAGGATTTCAGTGGGGGCTTTGGGTTGCTACATGTGCCTTCAATGATCTGCTTTCCACTTCCTGAAGTCTTTATTATTCTCTATATTTTATTAGTCTCTAACAGTGTGCAAAGAGCCTCTGGATGTTCAACAAGGACACGGACACAGAGCGACCTGTCAGACACAGCCCTGGGGCATCCTGCACAGTCTGACTTACACCCAGGGCACCACAAACCCCCCTCAGTCCTGCAAGGTTGTCATCAGTGTAATTTAATCCGAATGAAACCGTTCTGGTGCTGCCACAGCCCCTGGAAGGCAGGTGAGCTGGGGTCCCCTGGTGTTTGATGCTGTGTGTAACAACCACAGCCACCTGGGGGAATCACACCGGGCTGACCCCATCTTCCTGCACCTGGGAGGGCTCCTGAACCTTGCAATTACCTGCTGTAACATGAATTATCCAAATTCCAGTCTCCCAAACATCATCCCTGCCTTCTGTGGTCCAAAATGCATTAGGGGTGGAGGTGTCATTACCTGGATCTTCAATTACCACGTGCACATCCATCCGTCTGTTTCCCACCGTGGAGTAAAGGAAACAACATTTTAGCCAAGCTAATGAAACTTCAGTGGTGTTAAACCTGAGCGTGAAGGGGACAGAGCCTCCCAGGCCAGATTAATGCTCTTTGTGACAGCCAGGGGAAATTCAAAATAACTTGAACATCACTCATTTTCTACTTGTGCTGGTGACAGTGAACGAGCCAAACCTCACACCTTCATTCTGCATTTTCCTGGAGCAGCGACAGGGACGTGGCAAGTGGTTTTCTGTTCTGGAGACAGCACTGCTCCAGAGAAGGCAACCCCAAGTCACTGCATTTCTCTTCCTTCCCCTTAAACTCCACAGTTCAAAACCACCTGGGGACTTCAGGTGGCAAACGTGAAACCTCTCACAGACGCCCCGTTGTCAGAGGATGAAAACATTGGGTTTTGAGCAATCCAGATCCCAGAGCTGCAGATCCCACTCTGCTCATCTTCACCACACCTGCCACAGCACCTGGGTGCCAAAGCCAGGGCTCACAATTCCCACAGCCAGCCCCAGCCTGCACAAAGGGCTGGGAATCAACTCCAACAGGCACCTGGAACACCCTCAGGTGGAACATCCACAGCCAAGGAAGCAAAGTCCAGCTGCTGCCACACCACAAGCAGGATTAAGCGACCAGGACTGCAGAGGAATTGTGCAAATCCTCCTTTGCCGGCTCTAAATAAGCAGCAGCATTCCAAGCAAGCCCATCCCTGCATCCACAGCAGTGGAGACATTGGCAGGAGAGCGGCAAAGCAATTTGGAATTTCCTTGCAAAGCTGGGCAGCAGAAGAGAAGTGCTGAGAGCTTCTCCTGATTGTGTTTCCCGTGTTGCTGAGTCAAATCCCAGCACGGCCTGAAGATTGTGGAAATCAGCTCCAGCAGGGCTGTCTAAGCCTCCACTGATCACTGAAATGAAATTAAACCCTCCAAGAATCCCCTTCTCCCAACCCAGACATTTGCAAACGTGTTGCTTGACAAAGGCTCACGCCCAGAGGAGCCTCTGCGTTCCTGCTGCTCCAGGAAAACAAATCCAAGATCTTGCTACAGTCCTGTTGTCCCCTGGTTTGCTCCTGAACCAGATCAAAAATGCAAGAAATCTCTGGCATTATCATTAAACAGGCCATAAACCCCTCAAGATTTGATGTGGGGTCTGGAGAAAAGAGGTTTTCATATTTAGTTTTAAACCAGAAAAGGCTCATAAGCTCCTCTGTATCTACCAATCCATTAAAATAGGATTAGTTGTAGCCACTGCTCATCAAATGGGTGCAAACAGGAGGAGAACAACACTCCAGATGCCTTTATCACAGTTGTTGACTCCAACTTAATCGCTTTTTTAATAAGTCTTAATTATTCAAAATAATCACCATCCCTTCCCTGCCTGTTGTCATTTAACATGAGAGAACCTTCTACAGAGCAAACCCCAACGCAGGCAAAAGAAACCCCAAAACCAAAATCTCATTAATCTTTCTAACATTTAAGAGATACCTCAAGAGCTTCGAACATTTACCTCTCCTTCCCAGCAGCTGAAATGGTTTTAGGAGGATCATGGTTCATACCTCGCATTCCCTGGAGCCAGAGATGGTGTAGGTGCAGGGCCCAGATCCATTAACAGATACATCCATGGTCTCAGAGTTTGTTGGCTTGTAGTCCACGTAATATTCCTGCAAAGGGGAGTTCATTTGCCTCTCTGACTCCCGGGCCTTTTTCCTGCGCCTCTTCATGAGCGTGTGCTGCTGGAGCTGCTTCATGCTGGCGGGGTAACGCTTCCAGGACACGTAGATGACCAGCAGGATCATGGCCACGGAGAGAAAGAGGGCCACGCTCCCCGCGATGATCTTGTGGAAGGACACGTGCTCGTACTCCGGCTCCACCGCGGGCGTTGGGATGTCTGCGGAAGGGCTCGGCGTCGCAGATGTCGGCTGGTGGCTTTCCAGTTTGGAGACGGTGGGTTTGGGGATGAACACGGGTCTCTGGGGGGTTTTGGGAGCCTGGTAGGACCTTTCAGTAGGCACCACCTGGATTTCGGCACAGATATTATAGGTTTCCACAGCGTCGCTCACCTTCTCGCCCTGGATGTGTTTGGGGCCTGCGCAGATCATGGTGGTCTCCTTATTTCCCTTGAAATTCTTAAGCCAATTAAACAGGGGGCAAATGCTTCGAGTACATTCCCACATATTCCCGGACAGAGTGATGGAGATGAGCGAGATCCACGTGTTGATGGTCTCCTGAGAGATGTTGGTGAGTTTGTTGGAATCCAGGTTCAGCTTCTGCAGGTTGGGCAGGCACTGGAAGGTGCCGGGCTCTACCCCCGCGATGTCATTGCCCGATAAATCCAAGTTGTGCAAGGAACTCCAGGTCCACGTCAACCCCTGGCTGATGGAGCGGATCCTATTCCACTGCAAGTAAATGGAGCGGAGGTTGAAGAGCCGCGGGAAGTGGGCAAAATTGATCTTAGAAAACTGGTTGTGCTCCAAGTGGAGCTCCGTCAGCTTCAAGAGGCCGGCGAAGGCGTTGCGGGACAAGCTCCGCAGGCGGTTGTAGCCCAAATCCAGGAAGTCGAGGTTGCGGCAGTCCTGGAAAACGCGGATGGGCACTGTCTTCAGCGAGTTGGACCTCAGGTGCAGGATCAGGAGCTTGCGGAGGCCCTTGAACTGCTCCGCCTGCAGCACCTGCAGCTTGTTGTAGGACAGGTCCAGGTTGCGGAGGTTGGGCACGGGGTGGAAGGTCTTGTTGTGCAGGTGGGTGATTTTGTTGGAGCTCAGGATCAGCTCCTTCAGCCGGCGGATCCCCTGGAAGGCATCCTCGTCCACGGAGCTGATGTAGTTGTGGTCAAGGTAGAGCCAGATGAGCTGATTGAGGCCCGCGAACTGGTGGGATTTCAGCTTCTGGATGCTGTTGTAGCGCAGGGACAAGCCCTGGGAGCCGCCGGAGATGTTGTGCGGGATGTCTCGGAAGGCGTGCGACTCGCAGTACACGATCTTGCCGTCGCAGCGGCAGCTCTTGGGGCAGGCTCGCTGGGCACCCGCCAGCCCCGCCAGCAGCGCCAGGGGAAGCAGCCCCAGCAGCACCCTGGAGCCTCCCCGCTGCTTGATCACATGGAAATCTGCAAGATCCGAAAGGAAAAGGGGCCGTTGGAAAGCCGTGCGGGTAAACGACCAGATTACCGAGCAGGGATTTGGGAGACGACCTGTTTGCCTCCTGCCTCGGCTCTTTGTGGTGCAAGTCGCCGCCCTTGGCGTGCCTCCCTGGCCACCTCTCCTGCCCCCACTGCCACCAGAGTCCCCTGGTGGGGCTCAGGGTCCCCCAGGAGCCTGTTCCCTCCCGGCTGTGCTCCCGTCCCCCGGCTCCCCGGGGAGCTGGGGTGTCCTTAGCGCTCCGTGCTGAGGTTTGAACAATAAACATATTTGTCAAGTCACTGTGCTGGATGCTCCATAGTGCCGGAGAGGAAATGAGCCAGAGCTTCTGCTCGTACGTGCTGCTCAACGTGTTCCTCAAGGAAAGCAACTGCAAGACTAATCCCCCCAAAATTACCTCAGAAAGAGGGAAATCTACTTCTCCTGAAGTTTGATCCATCTTTATGACCTGTATTTTTTGTAAAGCGAGGCACTAAGTAAAGGTTTTACTTTTTGCACTGAATGATTCAGGTTTAAGAGCAGGTTTAAGTAAAACTCGTGAGTTTTATGTACCTAAAATACAGAAATAGATGCAGGGAAACAAAGTTTGTCCATACAGAGAAGTGTACCAGGAATGCTGGCATGGGACCCCAATGCCAGGTAAAGGTAGGAGATGTGTTCCTTTCAAATGAACCACAGCCTTAACCCATGCTCATTTAGTCCATCCACACATGGCTGTGAATACCTAAACAGTTATTAACTTGAATTAATCCAGCAGACGATGAAAATACCCACCCCAACACTTCCAGACAGCAGCAAACCCAGAAAGTTTAAAGGGGGATATTTCTCTTTCAGTTCCCCTCTCCTGATTGATTTTAAGGGTTTGCCTTTAAGATGTCATGTTTGTCATGCAGCAGCAGCGCTGGATGTGAGGACATATGTAATAATTGAATGTACAGAATCCTGAATAATTATGAGAGGGCGTGGAGGGGGTGTCAGAACCCCCAACACCCATCTGCACGCCTGGAATAATTTTAGGGCTGCTGCCTCCAGAGTTGCAGTCTTGCTGAGAATGAAAATTCATTCTTCCAACAGGAAATATTTCAAAGGCTCATATCTCCTTGATAAATAATCACTTTATTATTTGTCACACACACGCAAAACCAACCCAGTGCTGCAGGTCTTTAATCCAATTTTAAACCGAGGGGCAATCTGCAAATATAATTCCTGATCTAGAATGCCCCTTGCCTTCCACTTTAATGGGTAGATTTGTAATTTAAATCCTCTTTTTTTTTTTTTTTTTTGCTCCGTTCTCTTTGCCAGCAGCAGCCAGCTAGAAATATGTTCTGGCTGTTACAGACTCGGGGGCTGGGGAGGGGGGAAGGAAGGAGGGGAATAAACCTGTCACACTCCAAAAAAACCCCGGCTGGCAAATGACTGCTGGAAATGTAGCAGAGGTACCAGGGGCATCTTTTCAGCCTCTCCAAAGCCACCTATGCAAGGAACGACTCCCCCCCTCCCTCCCCTTGGCTTCCCACATCCTGCAAAGTGTGACCGCCAGCCCCAGCGGTGCCGGGGGGATCGGGGGGCGAAGCCGGCAGGAATTTGGGGTGCCGAGCAGCTGCCGGAGCCCCCGCAGGCGCGGGGGAGGGCGGCACAGGGGCCAGCCCCTCACTCGGGGCAGGAACCCACCACTGCGGGAGGAAAGGTGTGCGTGTGTGCCCGGAGGGGGGGACGAGGGCTGAAAACGCAGCGGCAAGTGCCGTGAGTCACCTGGCAGCGGAATGCGCCGCCGGTGCCGCTCCCGGCGCCCCCCCGCCACCGGCGAATAATCCAGCTGCAAAACCCACCCCACAGCTGCGGCTGTGCCAGCCAACAAACCACAAAAGTTCACTCACCCATCCTTTTGTCATCAATAACGTCCTCCTTCGCCTTCCTCCAGCTGTTTTCTCCGCTCTCTTCCCTATTTATTTATTTATTTATTTATTTTTGCTTTCCCCTCGCCTCTCTCTCTCTCTCTCTCTTTTCCAAACCCGGCTCCTCTGCTTCAAACCATCATCATCTTCATGTCACAGCGCGGCTGCCGCTCGCCCCGCCGCCATCCAGCGTGCCTGCCAGGAACCCCACAAAGTTCCCCGGAGAGGACCAGCGAGAATTTTGGGGATGAGGAAGGGAAAGGATAAGGGAAGGGGTTGGGGGTGGGGAAGACAGGACGAAGGATGGGGGGAGTGTGGGGGGGTAGGGAGGGACTCTAAGCTCTGAGAGCCATTGTGGAAGTCATCAGAGAACCGGCGGCGTTAAGTGGCAGTCGGCGAGAAAAGCAGGCGATGGAGACGAACCAAGTTCTCTGGGAGGAAGGAGCGGAGCTCTGCCGGCGCCTGGCATCCCTCATTCTGCCGCCTCTTGCCATTGCCGGGCACAGCGATCCATCCTCGGCTCCCGCAGCAGGCAGGGCCCCCCGTGCTGTGCCACAGCCCGCTTCAGCACCCCCGCAGGCTCGCTTCATCCATTTAGCTGCTCGGGTTTAAGGTGTTTTGTAGCTGTGCTGAGAGGCAGCTCCCGTCTAATTCCGAGGCTTTCCAGAGAGCGATGATGCTCCGGAGCTGGCGGGTGCCGAGGCTGGAGTTTGTGGAGCACCGAGTGCCCTCCACTGGAGAAAACCCAACGCGCATTGAGGGCCGAACAAGTGAGGCTGTCATGGCTCTGCAGACTTCGCTTCCCTCGGAAAAGAAAATTAAAGACACAGCATTTGCCTTGCCCACCGTCCTCCCCTGTCAGACCCCTCCGTCTCCCCTGGACTGTGGAATGTTTATGGCGTGGGATTTTCGGGCAGAGGCGCCAAGCAAAACAGCTGCTCCCCTTGGGATTTGCCAACCTGAGCTTGCTCTAATCCACCTGACCCGTGTATTTGGCTTGGGTAAATTCTAAACTGTTCTTTTTCCCTGTGTTCCCGGGGGAGGGGAGGCAGGAAAAGGAAGGTTTGCAGGTTAGAAGTGAGATCTTGGTGCAGGGCCGAGGGCAGGGGCTGTGATCACACTGATCATCATCACAAAAGGCATTTCATTTGACTTGACTGCAGGCAGCAACTCCAAATGTAAACACTCCGTGTCCTGCTGTGGCTGGGACAGTGTTAATGCCTGCCTCGCAGCCTGTAATTTTTTTCTTTTTAAATCTAAGTGCCTTTCAGTCAGAAAAGCTCTGACTTTGATAAAGAAAGCAGAACTGAAGATGCAGAATCAGTGGCAGCTTTTTCCTCCTGAGCTCCTCTCCAGTGGCTCTCCCAGCAGGAGCCGGGATCCCGCAGGGTCCAGGGTGGGACCCGGGCTGTGCCACCTGCGCAGGTGTCACCTCGGGCTGGGTCTGCCCGGGTCACCGCGGGCAGTTCCCGGCTCATCAGGGCTGGGGCCATTCCCAGTTCCCCAGGGACGGGTCCATTCCCAGTTCCCCAGGGCTGGGTCCATTTCCAGTTCCCAGGGCTGGAGCCATTCCCAGTTCCCCAGGGCTGGGTTAATTCCCAGTTGACCAGAGCTGGGTTAATTCCCAGTCCCCAGGGCTGGGTTAATTCCCAGTTCACCAGGGCTGGGTTAATTCCCAGTTCATCAGAGCTGGGTCCATTCCCAGTCCCCAGGGCTGGGGCTATTCCCAGTTCCCAGGGCTGGGTTAATTCCCAGTTCCCCAGGGCTGGGGCTATTCCCAGTTCACCAAGGTTGGGTCCATTCCCAGTTCACCAGGACTGGTTTCATTCCCAGTTCCCCAGGGCTGGGGCCATTCCCAGTCCCCAGGGCTGGGGCCATTCCCAGTCCCCAGGGCTGGGGCCATTCCCAGTTCCCCAGGGCTGGGTTAATTCCCAGTTGACCAGAGCTGGGTTAATTCCCAGTCCCCAGGGCTGGGTTAATTCCCAGTTCACCAGGGCTGGGTTAATTCCCAGTTCACCAGGGCTGGGTTAATTCCCAGTTCACCAGGGCTGGGTTAATTCCCAGTTCACCAGGGCTGGGTTAATTCCCAGTTCATCAGAGCTGGGTCCATTCCCAGTCCCCAGGGCTGGGTCCATTCCCAGTTCACCAGGGCTGGGTCCATTCCCAGTTCCCAGGGATGGGTCCATTCCCAGTTCCCCAGGGCTGGGTCCATTCCCAGTCCCCAGGGCTGGGGCTATTCCCAGTTCACCAAGGTTGGGTCCATTCCCAGTTCACCAGGACTGGTTTCATTCCCAGTTCCCCAGGGCTGGGGCCATTCCCAGTTCCCCAGGGCTGGGTTAATTCCCAGTTCACCAGGCTGGGTTAATTCCCAGTTCACCAGAGCTGGGGCCATTCCCAGTTCCCAGGGCTGGGTTAATTCCCAGTTCACCAGGCTGGGTTAATTCCCAGTCCCCAGGGCTGGGTCCATTCCCAGTTCCCCAGGGCTGGGGCCATTCCCAGTTCCTCAGGGCTGGGGCCATTCCCAGTTCACCAAGGTTGGGTCCATTCCCAGTCCCCAGGGCTAGGTTAATTCCCAGTTCACCAGGAACCACCCCAGGGCTGGGGCCATTCCCAGTTCCCCAGGGCTGGGTTAATTCCCAGTTCACCAGGAAGGTGCCAGAGGGATGTGAACAGGGGCAGGGGCAGCAGCAGCTCCTGAGCTGCTTCTGGGAGCCTCTTTAGCCAGAAGCAGCAAGGAACTGAATGCTCAGGGCAGGGCCAGGATCCCACAGGGATCAATTCTGGCTCTGGCACACCCGGGTTGCTCAGAGGGCAGCACTGGACTCTTCTGAACAGCTTTAACAGCCCCTAAAACTTGAATATTTGTGCTATTTCCATCCTTCCCTGTGCTAAACACCCCCATCAGTTATTTGGGGAACAACTCCCTGCCCAAATCCCACTTCAGCTGCCAAAATGGTGGCAGTGCTTTATAAAGTCAGTCATGAGCCAACCATCATGTGTTATTTAATGTTTAAATATTTAAAATATTCCCCACTGTGGCCCAGGAGCTCCCTGCTCAGCGTTCCACAGCCTGGATCTCTGGGGGTGCCCGTGTGCCACTGGTGATCCCACTCTGTACAAAAATGAAAGCTGCACAAATCTCAAGGTCAGGTTCCAGCCCTTCCATCCGAATTCCTCATTCCTGGCTCGCTGCTTGCCCCTGCAATCCATCCCAGACGGAGCCACCCCTGGCCAGCCCCAGGATCCAGCCCTCTGAAGGAGCAGGAAAAACACCGGGACACAGGATGGGCCAAGAGTTCAACTCCATTCGGAAAAATAAATAATAATCCACAAAACAATCCACGGAAACCAACCTGTCCTCCCCTATGTCTGCATCCAGACTGCATCTGCACCCACACTGCATAAATATTCACTCCTGAATAAAAACCCTTGCTTGGTTTGTTCTGTTATGACAATTTGTCTCTACCTATAGATCAGATATTCATTTGCATATGAAAAATATCATCATTAATCACTATTTTTATTCTGGATTGGACAGCAGCACACACAACTCCCTCAAACAAGATTCAGAACTTAATTATCATAAGTGATGTTGAAAATACCTCTCCCATATCTCAGTTAACCCCATCTGCATCACAGCCAGGAGCACTGGAGCAGGAATTCATATTTATTATTCCCAATAAATGTAAAAGCCAAAGTGTGCAGTTATTTATTCCATCTTGGACTGATGATTCTCCAGGATGGGTCCATTTGAAACTCTGCCAGATCTGGGAGCGAGCGGAGCAATGTCCACAGGAGCTGCACCCGTTTCCAGGGGTGACTTTTCCCAGATCCTCGGGTCCTGCAGGAGCTGGAGCAGCACAGCCAGGAGCTCTCCCTCTGCCACTGACCGAGCCTCAAAATCCCCACGCTCCCACCAAAGGGTGGGCATGACTTTGCTGCCTTAAAATTCCCGTGATGCTCTAATGGAAAACTTCATCAATTCCAAGGCAGAAAACTTGAGGAGCTGAGCTGAGCCAAGGGAGCTTTCACTCTGCAGCACAAATGCCACCCCCTCCCTGTTTTTTTTTTTATTTTTAATTTTACATTTTCTGATGAAAACAGACCCACTTGAACATTTGCCAAAGGAGAAGAAATGGGGAAGTTTTAATCAGCATAAATAAGAGACTCTGAGCTAAAAAACACATGGAAAGGAGGAGGTTGCAAAGGCTTTTTGTGGTTTGGTTCCATTTCCTTGGAGCAGGGAGAGAGGTGGAGATCCCTGCCCAGGGAGAGACAGGGAATGTTCTGAGTGCTCAGCTGATCCTGGTCCAGCTGGCAGAGCTCCCTCCCACCTGAGCAAGGGCTACCTACAGAAATTATCCCTCCTGGGAAGGGCGTGGGCCATGGGCTCTGTGCGTTCTCTGCCAGGAAAATGGGTCTGGACAGAGCTACGTGTTTGATTCTGAGTTTATATTTATATTTATAAAGTTATTTTATACATTAATGTGTGTGTATATTCATTTATTTATGTGCATTATTTATCCATTTATTTTTATATATATTTCCACAAATATATATTCACAAATATTATATGTGTTTTATATATTTGTATTTTTATATATTATATGTTATCTATTTACCTATTACTATTTATATATTTCTCTATTATTTTTATATAGATTTGTATATTTATTTATATAGTATAAAAATGTATCTTTTATTGTGGTTGCTAAAAGTATATATATATATTCACAAATATTGTATGTGTTTTATATACTTGTATTTTTAGGTATTATATACGTTATATTTTATCTATTACTAGTTATGTGTTTCTCTCTTATTTTTATATAGATTTGTATATTTATTTATATAGTATAAAAATGTATCTTTTATTGTGGTTGCTAAAAGTATATATATATATTCACAAATATTGTATGTGTTTTATATACTTGTATTTTTAGGTATTATATACGTTATATTTTATCTATTACTAGTTATGTGTTT